GATTACTCCGCTCCTCGTCGCCAATGTTATGTTTAAGGGTTCAACGGTAATCGTGGTGTTATCCAACTTATTTTATTATAACTAAAACGTTTTACATACGTTGCTCCCCGCCATGTGGTCACACACCGCAATCACGTGACCACCACAGGTAGCCCAAACTACATAACAAAGTTCATTCATTCAGTTATCGATTTATCTTCTCAAACTAGTACTCTGTTTCAGCAACGCATCATGCATGCATGGATCAGCCAAGCATACTTTATTTCTTTCCAGTTAAATAGGAATAACAAGATAAAAGGTCAAGGATGGTTCCGAGTCAAGGATGAGGAGAAAAAAGCCAAAAACTAAAAATAGCACTGTTTGATTTTTGGCCGTAATAGGCTAAACATTTAAAAAATCTTAAGATAAAATACACTGTTAGAATTCAGGATAATCCAAGCACATTATATGAAAAATACAGTTAAGAGAGAATGTCAGCCATGCAAAAATCGAACATACGCCTGCAACAGTCGAAAAATCGAATTTGCTCACATTTTAGTATGAGGAAGACCTTGATACGATATAAACCGTGGTATACTTCATTTGCCAAAATATCGCTTTATTTCCGAGAAAAACGAGGAAAACCAATTTGAGCAAATTGACCCTCTGAGAGAGCCAAAATATCATCCAACTTCGAGTGCCTCGCGTGCCTTTGCAAAATGTGTATGGACTTGATTGTTGAAAAACTTTTTTTAACATTGTCTTGGCTTTAAATCTGTGAAATTTTATTATTTTCCAATAAATTTATGTTGGCGAAAATTTTTTTATTACCAAGTTACTTTGGCACGTCATCAACTATAAAGAACTTTCAAAAAATATTTAAACCATGTGCTATATAAAATAATACGTCGATATTTAGAAATTGAGAAGTTAAAACAATGTTCTAATCGTGAGTAAAGTGATTGTTTTGGGTATTTTGATCTGTCTTTTGTCTTTTCCATGGATCTATAGTGTTATTGGTATTCATCATTAGCAATATTTCCCAGAATTCGGGTCAAATTGGCAGAAATATGATCTGTTTTCATTGGATTCGATTATGCATATGCGATTGGCTTACCTTAATTAGGTAATTTTCCCTAGATTATTTTCAGACCTCTTGTTGTTAGTGTTAGGAACTTGTGCTAGAAGCTTTTGAGCCGAAAACTGAATTGCTTCTGAACACACTGTAAATAAAATATATTTCGCTTTGAGGAGTCTTTTAAGGACTTGACTACTTAGTGGATCCGTTACTAGTAGGATGTCGAGTTGTTCGAGGACCAGACTGGACGTGGGGCGACCAAGATGGAGGAGGAGGTGTTGGAACAATCTTTAGCACCGATACCTTCTCCGATGGTAGCCCACTGAAAAACCAAACAGTTGTTGTTTGCTGGGACGCAGGACAAGAAGCCTATTATCGACTTGGACTGGATGAAAAGTATGATCTGCGGATCCTTGATTCAGCTCCTTCGGGTAAGTGACTCAATTGACAACATTAAGGAAGAAACAACTTGGTCAAATATTGCATTATTTATATTATTAATACTAGATAATGGATGGCTGTTGACTCGATAGGTCATACTTTTTCAACAGCCATACACACTAAACTTGATCTCCGCTTTGTAAATATTTATTCTGTATTTTTCATAACTGTTCACTCTATATACATGTAATATTTCCTATATTTTGTATTGTAATTTTGTGTGTGAAATAAACTTGACTTGACTTGACTTGTTGTTATGACGACACTGAACTAAGTGATTTTAGAACCAAGATTTCTCTAAAATTTGGATCATTGAGATGATGTACTTTTCTATTTTTAGAAATGAACATTCAATATCATTATAAAATTCATGTTTTTTTTCCTTGTATGACCTCGGCTCAATTCTAGCCAAGAGTAAATAAAAGTGTTTTTAGTGTTTTTATTTCCGAGCCAAAAAGCTTCCTACTTCTGAAGCCAGAACTGCTGAATAAAATATAAAAAATGTCGGTACAATAAACTTTTAATTAACCCAGTAACTGTAGGGGTTAAGTGAATCCCTAAAAAATATCGAGCAAGCACTTCACCTGCAAAAAAATATCTCGCAATCTCTCCTTTCAGTAAAGAAACAATCGAGCAAACACAAAAATACATACAGTGGTTGTTGCAACATAAATTCATGCAACACCCCCCCTACCCCCCCTCTCAGTTATCTAATGTTCCATCCCTAATCACTTACTTTTAGCACACGTAGGTGTTGGAAAACTACAATATTTTGCCTTCTAATTTGCAATTAGATGAAGGGTCATGGAACGTTCTTT